TCTCCATCTGCGCGCAGACAACATGACCAGGCTTATTCGGACAAACGACCGGCCAAATATTCATATTGCAGTTCGCGCTATGCAGCACCCTGCAAACAGTTTTGCCGACCTCAAGTTCCTCATCCCCGATGATGTCAACGAGCACAAACCACCGCCGAAGTTCGTAATTTTTACAGACAACTGTGTCGAGGCCGAGGATATCTGCAAGTACTTACATACCATTCTTCCGATCTCTTTACGAAGCCGAATTAAGTGGTTCCACTCGCGGCTGAGTGGTGAATATCGGGCAGAAATCTCTTCTGAATTCAAGAAAGGAACATGTATTTGGGGTCTTGTGGCTACTGATGCATACGGCATGGTATGGTTATTCTATATTTGGGTACATGTAGGCCTTGACGCGGGCTTGTAGGGTGTCGATCAGTCTGGCATCGAGATCGTGGTTCAGTGGAAGGTCGCGCACCTCACATCGCAAACAGCCTTGCAGCGTGCCGGCCGTGCAGCACGCGGACTCAATGAGCAGGGATACTTCATCTTGATCGTCGAGAAAAAGTTTTTCGATGACGAACGGGAGAAGACCGAGCGGGCGAAGACTCTCCGACGAGAGCGAGATCAGGCACGTAAGCGCAGGAGAGAGCAAAGCAGAGCCGATATGAAAGTTAGGGCGAAACGTGTTAAAAGGTTGTCAGATGGCAATAACGGCGCAGCAGAGCCGGACGAAAGGCTAGATGTTGAGGAGGAGGAGGATGGTCAGGATGACAACGGACAAGAGAATGACGAACCACGTAACGTGGATGTGATCAGTGCCCCACATACAAGCTCCTCCGTGGACGATCTTCGCGCCAAGAGAGATGAGCGCCGTGCGCTCTACCATCGGTTGCCAGAGGATTCGCTACACCGATCGAAGGCGTCAACAAAGACGGAAGTCGTGCTCGATCCCGTCATTGACGATATTGTCAATGCACATTTGAGGCCCCATATACGATGTCGTCGAGCTCCTTTCAACGACATGTTCAACAACGAACAGCATGCGCAAAGTGAGTTCTCTGGATATTGAATGCGAGTGCAACTTGATCTCACGTCGTGCAGAGTCAGATCACAAGATGTGTGACCCATCACGCCCTGACGGTTGTAGACGCTGCGCGCCTATTGCACCTATCTCTTGCTGCGATTTGTGCGATCCACTCCATTACGACAAACTGGCGAAGACACGACCACCAGAGAAGTCGGCCCAAGGTGCGCGGCGGTCGAGTCTGAAGAAATACACCCCGGACACCCATGATCATGCCCTTCGGAAGGCGCTCTACGAATGGCGCTTGGACGCTGGACTCAGAGAGCTCGGGCCAGCGGTATTCCATACTTACGGCCCGGGTTTATTCTTTTCTGAAGATCTCATTCACCGCGTCGTCGACTGCGCCCACTTTCGAAAGATCAAGAACAAGGAATCGCTGGCGGTCGAGACACATTGGAGGGCGGACGATGTCGACAAATACGGCGACGAGATCATCACGATCATCGATCAAATTGCGCAGAAACGCGGGACGCAAGTCAGTAGCTCCTTGTCGGCTACGAAACAGCCCCGATCGACCAAGGAAGGTGGTGAGGCGGCCGCTGCGTCGCGTTCAAAAGCGCCGCGTCCTCAGGAGGCGCCGCGTGCGACGGTGACACGTCCAAAACGCCCTCCAACGTGCCATGCATGTGGGGAAACAGGTCATAGTAAGTCCTCGGTACTCTCTTTGATTGACGTTGGTTGATCCACTGTTCAGAAATGAACTCTCCACTTTGCGTGCACCATGCCAAGTACAGGGCTCCAGCGCCGGCGCAACGTCCTGCAATCAACGCGGGTCCTTCGACGTCAGACGGTGCCCGCCCGAATACGTCCGGAAACGGCGAGGCGGCGTCATCCAGCGCAAGTCGTACATTCGCTGCGAGGGACGTTGCGGATGTTCAACGTGCGGCTTACGAGCAGCCGTACACTGATCATCCGCTGAGCAATGTACGTACCTCTTCACGGCGATACCTTGCTCTTCGGAAAGAACCAACGAGCACCTCAGTTCCATTGGTTACCCCCGGTGCAACTACATTCGCGACAGGACGGCGAGATCATCCCTGTTGCCGAGCAAGCTGCGCAGCAACACGAGCCGCAAGCCAACAGTTTCTCGTTCGCTACGCAACAGCTTTGGTCGACCAAGGAAGGCAGTGAGGCGGCCGCTACGTCGCATTCAGAAGCGCAACACCCTTGGGAGATGCCGCATGCGACAGCGGCACGTTCAGAACACCCTCCAGCCTGCTACGTATGTGCGGGCACAGGCCGTAGTGAGTCTTCATACTCTCCGTTGTTTGGCGGTGGCTAATCCATGATCCAGACTCAAACTCTCTACTTTGTACGCACCATGCCAAGTACCGGGCTCCAGCGCTGGTGCAACGTCCTGCAGTCGACGCGGGTCCCTCAACGTCGGACGACGGCCGCCCGAACTCGTACGAAAACGGCGAGACTGCGTCGTCCAGCCTGAGTGAGAGTCGTCCGTTCGCTGCGAGGGATGTTGCGAATGTTCAGCGCGCGGCTTACGAGAAACCGTACGGTGGTTATCCGCTGGGTAATGTATGCACCACCTCTGCACGGCGATACTTGTATTTCCTGCAGATGCTGACTCACGCTTCAGTTTCATTGGCTACAGACCCTTCAACCGCAAGTATCTGCACCAGCGCCATACGATCATACCGCTGTCGTCTCCATCGCCTCTGCTCTGCCCGCGGCTCAATCGAATTCATCGAGCTCGATGTCGTCGTCCGTTGGCCGCGCCTCTTCTTCGAGGACACTCCCCAGGCCTTCGTGGACGTGATGTGTCGTCATCATGTCATTCATCCCCTTTCCCAACATATCTGGTATGACATGTTTGGTTTCTCGCCCTTCGACGAATGCGTGGGCCCGATGTGTATCCATGTAGCTTGCCAACTTCGCGAATGTTTTCGTCATGTCCGGGGTCGTATGTTTCGTGGATCGACCGTCCAACACGAACATTTTCTCGAAGTTCGTGCGTATCTTCTTGTAGGTTGCGATCAGCGAGGATTCTTGCATGATCCTTGCTACAGTCCTATTTGAATTCTTTCCGCCATAGATTCGCTGATAGCGGTTCAGATACTAATACACAGTATGGTGTGGAGATGCAACTAACCTTGATGTATAGATTATTGTGTTCGACAAGCCAATCAACGGGTCGCCATGCATTCTTTCGACCAGTTGGGTTTACGAGAATGTTTTTCTGGATAGCCAATCTACGAGGGGAGTCTCGTAAGTATTTTCTCGTCCCAACTTGGCCCACAAGACCTCACCGAACTTCCTTCGGATATACAACGTGTAGGTCGTGTAGGAATTCCAAGACATGGGCGGCATACTTATGCTTTCCACAGGCCTTGAACAAGAATGCCCACGGAACGAGGCAACATTCGACACGACCAACATCGCCTGCGTTGAGCGCCCAGGTGATCTCTTCGTACAATAGGAAGTACTGCTCGCGGAGCAGTGCGTTCTCGCGTTGCTTGTCACGCTTCGCTGTCTCTGTTGATCGCAGGCGCCAGAAGTCCTCTGTCGCAACCTGCTCGCGTGCAAGTTCAAAGGAGATTTGCTCGATTTGCGCCCACGATGGGTCTGAGTTGGCAAAGTCTTCGAGTGTTGCGAAGTTCATTGATTTGAGCTTTTCGCGCCATGCATTTAATCTCCATACAGCACCGACATGCTGTATGACCTCGTGCATCCGTCGGAATCCTGGGCCACTCTTGCTGCCGAAGGTGCCCATCTCTTTCGGCCGTAATTCTGCAACAAATGACATCAATGACAGGTTGTCTTGACGCGCATCAGGAGGTGAGATAAAGATGCGCCATAATGCGTCGGCACAAGCCATCTTGACGTGGAAGTAGCCCATGACGAAGACGATGAACTGGAAGCGATTCCATACGCTTCTCTCATCGCCGCGCGATTTCTGTAACTGCCTCACTCGTTCGCCTGTGAGGAGATCCCCATGAACCAACAGTATCTGATCATTGATACGCCGGGCCCTTTTGCGACTCTTCGTGTCACCGCTGCCGTCACCGATGCCAGCCTGCTTGAAGAAGGCGGTAAGTGCGTCGATATTCCCCTGTATAGAGCTTTGCGCGAAGTTCACTGCCTGTAACGGAACCTGTTGGGTCTTCTGTATCTGATCATCGGGTACAGGCTTGAAGATAACCTCCGGCTCGCATACATACTTGCGAAATGGACCAAAGTGCGAGCCATACTGGATAAGGTCCCGACGGAAAACCCATGCATTGAACCGGTCCCGTCGGAACAACCTGTTTGCGGGTGGTACGTTGGGCTCGGGATAGAGCCGCGCCAATGCCCTGTAGTCTATTGGACTGATATCGGATGGTTTTGCCCATAGGTTATACCTTGAACGCTTCCAGATGTACTCCGAGAAGGATAGATCGTTAAGAGTGACACCGTACTTTAATGGTAACAGTGTGCCAGAGGTCATATGCAGTAGGTGGTTCTGAGGTTTCTCCACCGTCGGGATACAGTGCTTCAGCTCAATATCAATGTTGTCGTATGCCAGGGACATTAAAAGGCTCTCTCCGAGCTGCTGGATTTGACGGAGAGAATCCTTGGCCAAACTTGCGACAGCATCGTTGATTGCGTCACTCGAGTTTGAGATCCCGAATCGTTGTAAGAGCTCGATGGCTGCTTCTGGCGTACTACAGGAGTGCAAAAATACGCCAACCATGGTTTGTAATGTATTACAGCGCTGATTTGTAGCTTGCGCCATGATACTCATACAGATGACCTTCTTCTAGGGACAGAAGACGGAGTGAACTCGACGAAGAATATAGAGGAAATTAGGCACACACGATTGTCAAGAGTGCGTTTACTTTTTTGGCTGCTATTGAACCTTGTGGGGCTGAGTCTGAACCATCGTCGAAGTCTTCTGGGAGGCATAGATCATCCTGAAGAAGCCAGTACGCCTCTTCATCATGGTCTGCATTAC